AGGCCTTGCAGCTTTACGCAGAGCCGCCACGAACTCTGCCACGGTCTCGTTTGACGACTGGCTTCTCTTATAGAACGCGTGTCGGCACGCGATCTCCGACGGCTGCGGAGAGTAATGTGCCTTCAGCTTATCAGTCAGCTCTTTGAAGGCCGCGGTCGTTATGTCCGCTGGCGCCACCAGGGACCGAGCGATATCAAAGACGTTCTTGCCACACGAACTCAGGAGTGTGGCCCGCTTCTCCTCATCTGTGGTGATATCGTTCGCCTCGAGGTGGAACCCGAACCTCAGCAGGTAGGCGTCCCAGTTCTCGGTCGTTGGTTCGAATGCCTCGAACTTCGGGCTATTGGCCATAGCTGCAATCGCTGCCACCGGCTCTGATGGTGCCTGTTGCTGCTCTGCCACTGCGAGTTGCGGCTCGCTGTTGTCCGTCGTGGGGTTGGGACCAGCGGGGCTGCCTACCCGCTCCTTGATCCCACCTTCGTCGCCAATTGTTAAGTCCGGCGCTTAACAATGAGTCGAAGAGTGATTTCAGCAAAACTCAGGTTTATTCAGCTCGATAATCAACTTCTCCAACACGGTACAACTCCTCATAGCCCGAACAGCTTTTCCATTGCAGCTGTCCCTGCCGAAGCCTGAAGCTTAACATAGCTTCTCTATGGGGATGATTTCACATTCATCCTAGTATATTCAGGGCAGCATCTGAATACACTACAAATCGCGAAATGTTTTGGAGCTAATTAGGTAAATAAATAGATACAGCTTAAATTCTTTTACTATTAGCTTGTGCTGTACTCCTGTGAATTATATCAGGTGTTTAGGTAGTGAACAGGGCAGCATCTGAATACACTACAAATCACGAAATGTTTTGGAGCTAATTAGGTAAATAAATAGATACAGCTTAAATTCTTTTACTATTAGCTTGTGCTGTACTCCTGTGAATTATATCAGGTGTTTAGGTAGTGAATGCTGTTTAACATAGCTCATAGGACTGCCAACTCTGGATTGAGAAATTACTAGAGATTTGGGGGTGGAACCAGGAGGGTGGGGTTTGTGGAGGGGAAGGATCTCATCTCCCTTATAAATAAAAGCCAAATGGTGGTGGCACTTCTCTAGAACATTCCACACGCTCCAAAATCAGTTCGCTCTCTGATCTGTCATTCAGAGGGTCTCCCTATCCACTGGCAGCTTTGCCTGAGTCCTGCGTCCGACTCTTTGCGACCTCATGGACCACATCACGTCAGGCCCTCCTGTCCTCTGTTGTGCTCCGGAGTTTGCTTAATTTCATGTTTGTTGCATCAGTAACACTGTCTAACCATCTCATCCTTTGCCATCCCCTTCTTCTTTTACCTTCAATCTTTCCAAGCATCAAGGTCTTCTCCAGTGAGTGCTCCCTTCTCATTTGGTGGCCAAAGCATTTGAGCTTCAGCTTCATTATCTGGCCTTCCAGGGAACAGTCAGGTTCGATTTCTTATAGGGTTGACCGTAGACTTGGGTTTCAACACACAGTGAATAAAAAGTGGTTGTGCCACAGGGACCAAATAAAAATGTTTCAGAATCAGGACTGGCAACTGGCCATGCATGATAGTTTCATAGAATACTTCTTCAGGGAGGAACATAACATACAGATCTGAGAGTGGTATTGGAAGAAGTAAGAATGCCTACACACTAGTGTAAGTTGACACTTCTTGCCTAAAGTGTCTAAAGTCAGAATAGTTATGTTGATGTTTATATCTGTTCCAGGTGACAGGAACATTGGAGCTGTTAAAATATTTTTAAAAAATCAGCTCACTTTGGGGGTACCATAAACTGGAATCTATTGGAACTCTATAACACTCTATTTGTTTTAACATCCACTAGAGTTACAAATTTCCACTTTTTTGCATAATTTATCAGTTTTCCATTTAATTATCACTTTCATACGTTTATCTTTATATACATTTGAGTCTATAATTTCCATACTTTGTTTATCCAGTAATACAGGCTTTTCCCTCTTTCCAAAAATACATTTTCATCTTTCCCTTGCAGAATTAAGCTTAATTTATCCATTTCTGCTATTTCTAGTAATTTACATTCTATTTCCTCTCTTATGGGGAGTTTTTCTTGTTTCCAATATCTGGCTAGGAATATCCTAGCAGTTGTTAATATATATATATATATATCAACAAATATTTATCATTTTGTTTATAACCCTCCGGAAT